CATTTTTTTTCCCCCCCCCCCCCCCCCCCCCCCCGAGCCTGGCCAGGCCAACCGACCACAAAGCAAAGCACATCGTCGCTGACGCTCGACGCGCCGGGGGACGAAACCCACGAATTGGGAAGGGAAGTGGGGGAGGGGGTAGACCGACGAATGGTCGACGCGAGTTCGCCTGGGGATCCGAGACCCGGGCAGCTGCTACGTCAGAAGAGCACAGGGAATGGTTTCCCGGCCGCGTGGCCGTGTCGCACGGGCGGGCGGCCTAACCCAGCATGTGACGACGATCATGACGATACCTAGACCCAAGCGGCTATTCTACCCGTAGCGGAGCTAACATTTGTGATGGGGCATTCATTGTAGAGCCGAGCCTCATCAATCAGTATCTGAGAGGGTTCCCACCGGCCGGCATCATATGTGTGTATGCATGTGTTCTTGAATCGCTGCCAATCGCCAACCTGGTATAATAAGCACCCCCCCATACGTGAACTCGCCATGAATTCACAAGACGTCTAGTGACGGCAATTTCCACAGAATGCCGATATACACTAATGACTGGTCCCGGCGAGTGGTCTGCCGCGTGCACGAACCCGCGATTGCCGGAGCCAATGGCGTCCGGTTCAGCTGATAGGTCTGGTCTGGTAACCAATACTACTGGCAAAAGCAAAGGACATAGGTATCGCCTTTTACTGCCCTAACGGAGCGATGCTGCGTCATGGTCCACCCGTCCCACAACAGTTCTCAAACACGGTCCCTCACTCTCTCTCATGAACGAGAGATGCGTCGTGTCAAAGAACCTCCCCGTCGCTGAGCTGATGTGCACCAAACCCAACACGCAACACTAACCAACACATAGGTGTCCCAGTACCGGATGCGAAGCTGCTCGCGCGTACGTGTGTCTTGGACCCAGAGAGAGAGAGAGACATGTCATGACAGGTAGAACCAACATTGATGGCTTGGCACGCACTAGCAACGGTCTACCGGTAAGTAGTAGCTCTGTGGGCACCGCAACATCATCAGGCGGCCGACGGATCAAATATGTGCACTCCCCGCCAGCTGCTACATGGCAAGATGCGTCGTGCCGCCCACTTGAACGAGGGGGATAGAACACTCGGCCGCGTTGCTCTCCAGATGGGAAACGGGTTGGCTCAACGTCACCTCATCGCCATCGCCCACTCTGACCCGATATGGACGCAACAGGGAGGCACAAGTGGCCAAGTGCAGATAGCGACTGACTCTATTTCGTTTTGTTTTATTTTGTTACATGGTTAAGAGTCTTGTCCCACTTAGCGACACGGTATGGGGGCACTCGACTTCATGCAAGTCGTCAAACGAGTCGGGCCAACAGTTGTGGTTCGACTCCAGCGAGCCGATTCACTGGTGCATATCCACAGAGGCATATAGCCTCTCATTTATAGACTGAGCTGCTGAACCTGGAACATCGAGACGAGATGTCGAGCTTATCATACCCTCACAGTCGTTATATCATGGGGGGATTGATATACTAGGATGAGAGTTTGCCTGGCCGTCACGTAGGCAGTAGGTAAATAACGACCGTCGCTCCAAGGTGTCTCACGCAGAGGCACGACCGTTGGGTTATAACGTACGGAGTACGACAATCAAATATTTGTTCCCTTGGTTCCACAGCATTCCCAAGTCACCCATCTCTGTATAGCCCAAGTCAAACTCTATCGAGTCCCAAGATTAAGCCAAGGGGGGCCAAAAGTTTGTGCAAAACATTGTCTGATTATAAGCAACGCCCGATACCAGACGTCTCGCGGCCCTTTCACTGCCACATCGCTCGCCGTCTTCTCCTGCAACATACTCTCGAATCCAATCCATCCGCCAGCTGCTCGACTTTTCCGATTGCATCATCATCATCATCATCATACAGCTTGGGCCCATCACTGGGTCCCCCGCTTGGAATCATGCTTGCAATCAAAAATGGAAAACAATCATACCAGGACTCGCAAGCCCAGAAAACGCCTGTAGATGCAACCGCTCCAAAGGGGAAAAAAAGCAATATTAACCCGAAAAAGAAAAACCCAATTAGACGTAAAACGTGTGCTCGTAGATTAACCTCCACGCCGCTCTTCGTTGGCCCCGGTGACCGTGTATATAGCGTTGGAGAGTGTATGTATTGGACGTAGGTCGTTGGGCGTTATATGTTGGAAAATAATGAAAAAGGCGGAAAATGTGCATGGTCCCGGAGAACCAGGGAGGCATATATGTCGGCGGCGCAAGTGGCTGTAAATGTGCAAAGTAACCATCGCGGCGGCCACACCACCGCGTAGCCTCCGTCATCATGAGTTGGCAAACACCTGGTACGCCATGACCATGATCCACAGCAGGAAGATGGCGCCGACAAGGGCAAAGGAGAAGACGGCCTGCCACGCTTGGCCTGCATCACATTGTCAGCAAATTCAATCTTCAGAGGCGGGCAAGAGAACCAAAGACAGAGACTAAAAACTCACATATACTCCGCTGTTGCAGCCAGGCGAGTGTATCGAGGCTCTGGCCGGTGGGGTCGCGGTTGAAGACGGCGAGATTACAGTTGCTCGAGACGGAGCCGTCGGGCCCCCAGAGCTGGATACTGATGACAACGAGGCCAACGAACCAGAGGATGAAGAGCATGAAGGCGCCAATCATGACGATAGCAGGCAGCAGGCGGCGTTGGTAGACAAGCCAAAGCATGAGGCCGATGAAGAGGATGACGAGGCAGGCGACGGTGATGTAGTAGGGGAAGTACCAGGGAACGGGGAGGAGGAGCTGCTGCTGGATGTCGATGAAGGAGGCGAAGACGCCGATGATGAGGCAGGAGGCGACGAGCATGATGAGGATCCAGAGGTTGAGCTGGATGCCGGGCCATTGGTAGCGGTGGACGCGCTCGACGACGCGCCGGTCATAGTAGGAGCTGTCTGTTACCGTGGAGGCCACCATCGTGGGCAATTTAGAGGGGGTGTATCTGCCGTACGGCTCGATTGGGGGGCTGTCGATAAAGGCGCCGTGTGTCTGCGGTAGTGCAAGTTCGTTCGAGTTTCGGTGGTGGACGGTGCAGTTCAATCGTTGAGTGCTCGCAGGGATCGGTATTTAAGTCGTTGGAACGGAATGAACCGCTGACAATGCGAACAAAATGGCGTATTGAGTCAATCTGTCAGTTAGCGGGAAAGGCGGGGAGACGCCGCAAAAAGAAGCGCGCGCGATGCGGGCTTCGGGTTGGAGGTGAGGCGGTGTTGATGTCAGTCAAGCAAGCAAGGCTGGGCAGGACGCTATCGCCGCCGAGTCGACCGAAGGTCGCAGCCCAAGATGATGGGGATTATGCACGGTTATGCGCCGCCTCCGTCGTCGGCGCAATGGGCGATGTCGCTCGTCAGCGGCTCGGTGTTGGGCGTGTTTGGGTTTCGCCGTGGAGAGAGACAGAAGTGGTGTCAGGCCAAGCACGGTACTTTTTCGTCTTGGACAACAAGTAAACGCAGGTGCCGCAGCAGCAGTAACTCGCAAGACAGATAGATTGAATGGGATGGAATCAAGAATCGGGGCTGTCGCAATTCGTCCGGTGAGGGAGGGAAGGTCGAGAAGAGGGGGAATTCCGTCTCGTCCGTTCGTTCGTTCGTCCCGTCAGCGTGGCAGCGGCCCGTCGAGTTTAAACGGGACGAGAGGGGACGATTGGTGGATGGCTGGGCGGCGTGTGTTTTGACGGCGTTATTGATGTCGGTGCGGTTGGGCGGCCGAGGGACTGGACTCGAGTCGAATGCGGTCGACACTAATGGATGGCAGACAGGGTTTGCTTTGGGTTTGGGCGTGTGCCACGTCAAAGGTGCTGATGCAGACAGACAGACAGACAGACCCTTGTCACCTTTGTTGCTTTTGCTGTTGACGAGGTTCTTGTTTGGTGCTGGTTGGGCTGCGACGAGAGCCCACCAGGAAAACGGCGGTAATACAGAAACACCGGTTTTCTCGGAAACGGGGACCAATCCCACGTCTCGCCTTACTTTTGATACGGTGGTAGCGACTTTGATAGTCGATGAGATGGAGACTCGTTTTCGTCTAAGTGCAGCTGTGTGTGTGTGGGTGTGTCTGTCGAGGTCAGCACTCGCACGCAGAGAGAAAGTGCGACGGTCAAATACAACGCTCGACCCGACAAAAAGGATCGGAACAACGCGAACTCAAATTCAAAGCCAAGCCCTGACAGGGTCGCAACAAATCTGCTTTTGAGGGTAGTATGGTGCGAAAAAAAAACTCTCGGTTCGCGGAGGGGAGGCTGGGCGAACGGGAGAAATGGCGATGGCTGGGCGAGAAGGGGGCCGCCCTCCCACCTTCCGCCTTTCACCTTCCTTCCACCTTCCACATTCCACATTCCCCCTCCCCCTCACCTTCCTCCCCGGCCATTAGCAGTAACCAGCAGCAACAGCAACAGCGACAGCGACTCACGATTCATTCGTACCTTCCGACGCGGAGGAGGACCTGCATGCAGTGGGCCCGCGCCTTCCCGCAGCTGTCAGGCACACTCCGCCCCACCCCGCCCGGGGCTCCGGTGACTCTTGGCCCGTCTTTTCTCGCTCCTTCCTTCCTTCCTCCCCCCACCGCCGGAACGCACCCGAGCCCGCCGTCTTCCTTCACCGCTCCTATCCCAGCACGTGCCGGTGACTGACCAAGCCAGTCTAGTCTGTCAGCCCTGCTTTATACACGTGCGGATGCAGACGTACATAAACTAAGGTAGGCACTTACATAGGGACGGATACCAAATGTAGACGTGCAGAACCAGGGATGGGGTGAAGCCTCCTTCGCATCGGCATCCGCGTTGCATAATATGAGCTAGTTAGTATCCGTCCGGTAACATGACATGTGTAAACATGAACATTGCTCTGGTATTATTCATCTAGAAGCCGGGCCGGGCTGTCTGTTCTCTCTCTCTCTCTCTCTCTCTCTTTCTCAAAAGTCTGACGGAACCCCCCCACTGTCTCTTTTACATTCACGGCTGTTTCCCATGCAGCCCCTGACTATATGTGCGCCGAATCGGACCCCTCCGCCTCCGCCTCTCGAGACCCCGCGGGTCTGCGTTTGTCTGTATGGGTTTTCCCCGTCTTTGCGGGAACCTCTGTAGTTGCTCTCGTTGTCCTCAACGTCACCCTTATCACCTCATCGAAAATCGTCCGTCACGTCGCCGACGGCCGTCCTTTACAGTAACGACTCGCCCAGGGCGCAGCGCACTAAAGAGCAGCCGGCGCGCACCGTCTCCGACGCCGCGCCCTCCTGCTCGGCCGCTAGCGACGGGTTGACCTCGACGAGGTCCAGCGCCACGAGGCTGCCCGTCTCGTGCACGCACTCGCAGATGTAGTCGCCCTCGCGCAGCGTCAGGCCCCCGCGAACCGGCGTCCCTGTCGACGGCGCCCACATCGGGTCCAGCGCGTCCACGTCGAATGACAGGTGGATCGGCGTGTCGCTGCCAATGTGCGCCAGCGCCATCTCCATGACGCGTCCGATGCCGTACCTGGCGGGCCATGTTAGTCGGCAGAAGAGGATACGCAAGGGGGGAAAAAAGGGGAAGGAAAACAAAAAAACACTTCCCGGAGAGAGAAGAGGAGGAAAGAAGGCTTACCGGTCAATGTCAAACATGCTAAAGGCCTTGATGCCGTTCTCGCGCAGGATGCGCTTCTCGCCCGGGTCGACGTCGCGCAGGCCAATGTAGACGAGCTTCTTGAGGCTCAGGCGGTGCTCGTCACGCAGCCAGCCAAAGTACTCGGGGCGGTCCTCCTTGGCGAGGCCGGTGAGGAAGGCGACGGGCATGCCGTGGACGTTGCCGCTGCCGCTGGTCTCGGGGGTGTTGATGTCGGCGTGGGCGTCGACCCAGATGACGGCGATTTCGCGGCCGAGACGCTCGCGGGTGGCGCGGGCCGAGCCGGCGATGGTGCCGATGGCGATGCTGTGGTCGCCGCCGAGGGTGAGGGTCAGGCGGCCGAGGCGCGACTGCTGGTATACCTGATCGGCGATGCGCTCCGTCACGGCCGACACGGCGCGCGGGTTCTTCATGTTGCGGTAGGGGGGGTCCTCGGCCGGCACGAGGTCCGTGTAGAGGTGCACCTCGTCGTGGCCATGCAGCTGGTAGCCGAGCTCGTCGCGAAGCTGGGTGAGCAGGCCGGACTCGATAAGGGCCTTGGGAGCCGCGTCGACGCCGGGCTTGCACTGCATTCGGCCTCCGTCAGCCATGTTGTGACCAAGGGGAGTAGAGAACAGAGCTCGCGAGCGGGAGAGGGGACGAGGGGACTCACCTGTCCGCCGGAGAAACCGACGGCGACGACGCCCAGGTCCTCGGGGTTGCTGAGGAACTTGGACTTGACCATTGAAGTGTGCATGGTTGCGATGCGCCGCCGAGGTGCTGACTGATGGTGGCGGTGGTGAAACTGAGAACTGAGAGCTGACGTTGGCTCTCGATAGAGGGGGGAGCGGTGTGTTGGTGAGAGGAATGGACGTGAAGGAGAAGACGAGGAGGAGGAAGAACGAGTAAGGAACAGAAGCAGGAAGAGAAGAGGAAGATTCAGAGAGAAGTAGAAGAAGAAGAGGAGGGAGAGGAAGGAGGAAAAGGAAGCCGGGGTGGGCGATCAAGGTTATGTGGTTCGAAGCGTGTTACTGCGTACAGGATGCCAGGATGACGGACCGATGGGGGGGGGGGGGGGGGGGGGGGGGGGGGGGAGGAGTATCTGGGATGTCGTCCGGAACAAGCAGCCAGGGCAGAAAGTATGTACAAGTATCTTTCTCAGGACCCGCGAAGCCGGGGTTGACTCGGTTGCGGAGGATGGCAGAGCATGGCTTCTCTCGTTCCGTCGATACGCGCGCATTCCAGATTCCAGACACGCAGGTGGCAGGCCGGAAGCTGTGCGTCGGTGGTGGTGGGATGGCGGGGTATTTTTTTTTTTATTCTACCCTTCTGTACGGATAGGTAGGTAATACCTAGTGCGTTATCATGGCTGATTACGTACATTGATAAGGTAGCTGGGTAGGCTGGTAGGTACCTTGCTTGGCCGACGAGAGAAGAGAGCACAAGCTGTGCCTCTCATGTACTTTCCCGCAGCGACGACGCACAAACAGTACCTCGGACGGTACAATCTTCAGCGGCGGACCAGCCCTAGAGAGTTCACTGCGGGTAGACCTGCACTTAGGGGAAACACCACCGCATCAGCGCATCAGCGGCCCTCCCGTGACCCCCCCGAGGCGCGCCGTCGGCGTGGGTCCCTCCCCCCCACTGGACCACCTGCACTTAGGGGCCTGGCGCCGTCGGAGCTGTACCACTTAACGGCAGGTGGTGCTGGTGGGCTCCGCGAGGCATTATTTAAAGGGCGCCCGAGTCCCCCGTCCGCGAGTTGGCCATGTTCCCTAATGGCAAGACGACGCGAAGAAGGGGGCACACTTGTTTAATGCCCCAGGGGATTTGATTACGCTTCAGTTTGAGCGGCAATTCTTTTATTTTCTGCTGGGGAGGATAAGGGGGGTTTGGCATACCCCCTCCCCCTTTTTCCCTCCATTCTCTTCTCCCGTTCCTCGTCTTCGGTAGTGTCGTTCTCGAGGTGTCAATTTCTCGAGGTTCGGTCCTTTTCTCGCGCTTCCGCCGCGTCCCTTATCGCCGCGGGTCACCGCTTATCGGCCCAACGCCCCGGGGGTGCCAGCCACTGGCGGACTGCCCATTGCCACCTGGCTTTGAGGCCCTCTACTCCGTACTGCTCCACAAAGACTTTCTCTCTCTCTCACATCAGATTCTCCCGGAGCTGACTAGACCGACCGCCCATCGCAAAGACCCCAACAAGCGACCACTCACGCGACGGCCCTGGACCACTTGCGTTTCCGATTCGGTTTCTGTTATCAATTGCCATCGGGAGAACCAGGTCCCATGACTGACTGACCTGACTAGTCGTCGCCCCCTCCTCCCCCGCCGCCGTCGCCGACGTCTTCCTTTTCTCCCGGCGGAAGCCGGAGTGAGACTTTGTCCAGCCCCCCCCCCCCCGCCGCGCGAGAGTTGCGATCAAGGAAACACCCACCCCAACCACTACCACGGCGAAGGAAACCTTTCCTCGCTGCACAGACTTTTGACGAGCAAGGACTCTCCCTAACTTTACGTAAAATAAACCGCCTCCGCGTCGTCTTGAGACCCCCGTCGAGGTCGAGGCTGTTTCGACCTCTTGACTCGTGCCGCCTCGCATCCGTCCGATGGTCACTCCAAGGTCGCCCGATGACCTCTCTCGGCAAGCGAAGGAATGGCCACGAAGCCAGAACCGCCTCGGGATCGTGACCACGACACAAGGGGACGTGAGGGGACGAACCCTCCCCGACAAGCCCGGCTTCTCTCGGAGCTGCCTTGGTTCGACCAGCGCCGAGGAACGGGCCGCTCGAAGCCGCTCGAGGCTGACGTACCCAGGCAGACATGCCATAGCGTCGCGGGACGGTGCTCCGATCAAACAATGGACCATGAGGGCCAGCAAAGACGTAGACACAAGTGTCGATGCTGTCCAATGTGCAAATGTGTGTGTCTCTGAACCTGCAACATCATCATGTTCTCCCTCTTGATAATCACTCGGCTGCGGACCCTGTTGCCCTCGCATGACGAGATACACGTGGCTGGATATTGCTATTCGATTGTTGTACAGTGTACCTAGAATGATGATGATGATGATGATGATGATGATGATGATGATGGTGATAATGATGAGGATGATGTGCCCCGTGCTTTCTCTCTACCTTTTTGTCCCCCCCTCAGCTTAAGAGCCCAATGGTATAACGTAAAAAAAAACAAGAACCCTTTTGCATGCGTACAAAAAGAACAAGAACCTTGTGCCTACCGCCGGTACTCCCCATCTCGACTCCTATAACGCCTTGTCGCCCTGGGATCCTCCACGGCAAGTACTCTCTTGGACCGCCAAAGTCTCCCCCCCCTTTTCTTTTGCCCAAATCACGTCGTCTTCTCGGCCGGCTTCTTCTGCTCCGCCAGCAGGTCGTCCACCCAGCCCATCTTCTCCCTCCTCTCGTCCGTCACGCGCGCGTACTCGAGGAGCAGCCGCAGCGTGTAGATCTGCATGTCCTCGCGGCGCAGCGCCCTCTCGGCCCACGCCTTGCCGTCGCTCGCGATGCGCTCCGCCTCGGCGTCGTGGCCCGGCCGCTCGGCGCCGTACCCCAAAAAGTAGTCCATGATGCCGTAGTAGTCGCCGAACCGGCTGTCCATCGGCACAAAGTGCTTCCACGCCACGAGCCGGCTGTCGTGCCACTCGCGCCACAGCGTCGCCTTGATCGGCAGGCTCGTGCTGCTGAGGAAGGCGAGGTACCGGCCCGAGAAGCTGTTGCCGTCGATGTCGGGGAGGTACTTGGAGTAGTACATGTCGGCCATGCTGACGCTCTCGACGAGGCTGAAGTGCGGGCTCGTGTAGTTGCACTCGCCGCCGCCGTCCTCGTTGTGGGGCTCGCACATGAGGTCCGTGAAGCCGACGTCGGCCCACGACCGTACCCAGTCGCCCAGCGCCCCGGCCGCCCGCGCCGCGATGTCGTACAGCCTGTTGTCGGGTAGCGCAAAGTTGACGGTCGGCGGCGCCGCCGCGGCCGCCGCCGCGGCCGTGCCCTTCTCGGCGGCCGTCACCTTGGTCCCGTTGTTCATGGCGACGAAGCGGTGGCGCTGGAAGCTCTGCCAGTTGGAGGCGCGTTGCGGCCTCCCGTGGCGACGCGCGCCAGACGGCCTCGTCACGCTTCTCCTCCCAGGACTCGCCGTGGTCGCCGCCGCCGCTGAAGCGCTCCTCGGTGGTCCAGTACATGGCCGCCGGCAGGAGGATCTCGTTGTTGACCGCCAGCTTGGAGCCGCCGAACAAGGGGAAGAGCACGGGCGTCGCCGAGGTGCTGAGGGGCTCGATGAAGATGCCGTTGAGGCCCTGCAGGTCGGGCTGGTGGCAGAGCTGCGTCGAGAGCGTGAAGTTGGAGACGAAGCCGTCGCGCATGTGCGCCGCGGCGTACTTTGTCGAAATATTCGGGGGGTGGTCGAACGTCGTCTGCGCCTTGGCCAGACGGGCCGGGCTGTCGGGGGGGCACCCGCGGCGGGCGATGAGCCAGAACTGTTCTGCAGAGAGGTGGGTGGTCAGAGTTTTGGTTCGCATTTTGGATCGGGAGAAGAACAGGGCGGCATACTCGTTACTTTGTCCCAGTGCTTTTTCTGAACCTTGACATTGCGGTCTAGCTCCTTCTTGTTCTTGGGCAGCGTCTGGAACTTACTCACGACCTGCGTCGGGTCGGGCATGCCCTGGGCCTGGGCAAGGGCGGCGTTCTTCAGGTACTGCTCCATGTCCTCGAAGGCCACGACCATGCGCGGCTCGTCCATGGCGTTCAGGGGGATGTCCATGTCGGGCAGCAGGTGCTCGATGGTCTTGATCATATCAGTCCAGTGGACGGTCCAGAACCAGTCGCTCTCGCGGGAGGCACGGCCCTTGCGGACCTGGATGACCATCTCCCACTCGGCCGCCTCCTTGCGGATGCGTGAGGGCTCGACACCCCAGAAAGGCCGGAGGTCGTGGTAGATCTGGTCGAAGAAGTCCTCGACGATGACGGCGCGGCGGTCCTGGGCGAACTGGAACCAGGCGTCGAAGCCAGGGGGCGGATGGCGGCCGCGGCGCTCGCGGTAGGCCTTGGCGGCGTCCTTCAGCGTCTTGGACTCCTTGTTGAGCAGCCCGTCGAAGGTCTCGCCGGCCTCCTTGATGAGCGTGTCGATGGGGTGTGGCTTTTTGGATGACCCGTCGGCGGGTTTCGAGCCCCCCGGCACGGGCTTACCGACGGCGGCGGAAGTGGCGGCGGCAGCAGCAGCAGCAGCAGCAGCAGCAGCATTGTGGGTTTGTACTGACGGCAGTATGGGGGTCGACTCGGGTTGGGGAATCGGCTTCTCGGACCCGTCGGCCTGGGTAGGGGGCGGTGGGACGGGGTTCTCCTTCTGAGTTGTCTGCCCGGGCTTCTCGGACTGCAGCCGCGTCGGGGGCTCTCTCGGGTACCGGGGATCGAAGTGGTAGAAGAGGGCGATGACGAAGATGACGACGGCGGCGCAGCGCAGGAAGCTCGAGGGCCGCCGGGGCGGGAAGGCAGGCGTTAGGAGCTTGACCATGGTGGGTGGTGGCGAAATGTTGGTCGCAAAGGGGGTCGGCGTCGGAGGATGTCAAACGGTTGGTCGACTCGGGGACAGAGAAAGGGGAGGGGGGAGATTGGACCTGGCGGCCGGCTCAGCCAGGCCAATTCCGGTTGCGGCGGACAGTAGCGAACGAGGAATGCGACGTGCACGCGCGTAGAACAGCGATGGATTGGATTCGAGCGGAGAGAGGGGGGATTGAGGTTCTGCGAGGTTCTCGGAGTGTCGATGCCAGGTCGGCGATACTTGATCCAAGGAGGTGAGGAATAGCACCGCAGGCTGTGGAACCTGGTCCAAGTCGATATGGGTTGGCGCCGCCGAGGATTTAGGTCGAACGAGGAGAGAGCGACAGGAAAGCGCGCTTGGAGCAAGGACGAAGAAACAAACGGAACAAGAGTCGGAGGGAGCTCGAGCGGGAGAACCGGGGGGGGGCGGGAAGCAGAGAGTCGGCGGCTTTGGCTTTGCGCGGAGGGCTCGTTCGTCGGGGGGGGGGCTGAGTGTCGAAATAGGGATCTTGTCGGTGCGGAGGTCAGGGCGATCCGTCCCGGGGCGAATTGGAATAGGACGGTGGGATGGTTGGAGGTGAAGTGACGATGCAGATTGGATGGAGGGACCGTCCAAGTCCAGGGCCAGGTCCGTAGTGTAAAACTGGTGGTGTCCGAATGGAGGAAGGGGAGGAGGACCAAAGTGGGATGGGCGGGCGTGGATATGCCGATCCCAGAAGGATGAGCGGAAAATGTGGATTTTGGGTGGGTAGGAGATGGGACCG